TATCATATCATATTATATAATCATTCATAATTTTTCTATTTAAGCAGTATTAATCAAATGTATTATCAATTATACATTTTAATTTATTTTAATATATTAATGTTGAGTTTTTAAAATTCCATAATAAAAAAAAATATACATCTATAAAATAAATAAATATAATTTTATTCCAGTTTAAAGGGTATGCTATAAGCCTATAAACATCAAAGGATTTTATTTATGTAACATTTTAAAACTTATTCTTTAAATAATTATAAACAAATTAAATATGTATATTARTTTATAAATAATTTACAAAAATAAAAATCTATATTTTATGTATTGAACTGATACCTTAGGAAAATATTATATTATTCATAGAATGCTTTTTAAAATGTATTTAGAATAAATRCTGATATTCCATACTTTTAAATTAAATTTAAAAAGTTTTGAATTTTAATAGTTGTATAACAGTAATCATATCCTAACGAAGTTTTAAAAAAGCTGTGTTAATATATATTTTTTTTTAATTTATTGCATAACATTATTACTAAATTAAATCTATAAAGTATTGTACAACTGGAATACAATACATTATATAAACGAATAAATTAAACTACATCATTTTAATATAATATTAATTGGGACAAATTTTTTTTATTGTCAACATAATTTATCCAGGTAATGACGGAAAACCAGTTGACAATATTTAGTGAGGCGTTTGGATTACGGTTCGATTGTAAGTATATGTTTTCAGGACTGYGCTATATATTACCGTTAAATACTCAACGGCCGACAGTAGTTCGATAAAACAAAAGCAAACGTAGTGGTGAGGAGAGGGGTATAAGGGATTCGGAAAAAGAATTAAGAGCTGTGCCTACTAAAGCTATTTGAAAAAATATCTTWCCAGACGTTGACGTCGGCAACATTATTAATTAATATAACCTAACGCATGACACACCACACGCACGCCTCAGAAAAGTCACGGGGTCCAGAGTTTCTTAAAGCATAAGACRTATGCACTTATACATGTTTTATGGTGAGTTACAACCATTTTAAACTTAAATCGAATATCAAGAATACACAATGAACACAAATACAAATAACATCCAATTATTTCATTGATAAAAAATATGCTAAGGTTTATTTAGTTTTAATATGAAAATTCAGTTTTACGAAACAAAAAACTTTGATAACGATTATGATGATCATCACAATATTTAGATTAGTATAATATCGTTCATCTCATTCGATAGTGATGTTTTTCGTTTTATACATATTAAATAGTTGTAAGAAAAAAATAGTAAATTAAAAAGTCTGAGGATGTAACGATATGATATTAATAATTGCTGTATCGTTCCCAACACCATCTTATAGATATCTAGTCCTTTCAAAGTGAGACGTTTTTTAATTAAATTGTCTGAATAGTCTGAATTAATGCTTAAACATCATAACCAATAAACGTATAAGGTTTTAAGGTACAATAACAACGGTGATGATTATGTGCATAAAACAATATAACATAATATATTAATATGTTTAGACAGGACTAATCTAAATACGGCTACTCCGATCCATAAAACTGCACTTTTCGCTTGTCGTAAGTTAACAACACAACATTTCAATGATTTTTGACTATTATTGGTATATTTTATGACATGGATCAATTAAGGTAGATATTATTTCGTTGATTAAAATTTTAAAATTAAATTAAATTAAAAAAGGCGGGTAAGTCGTGGATGTCGCTCTGCTGTACAGTAGGTT